AATGGCAGTCAAAAGTTTTCCACTTCTGCGCACGGAACCATCCTCTCTGCTACTATCACGGCTATAGTAAAATTAGAGCAGAAAGAAGTATAATATATTTGCATTATTTTTCATGTTTGTATAAAGATGTGGCGTGAAACCCGCGGGTAAAAGCTACGGTACATATAAAAATGAAATAGCGTGTGTTGGTAATCGCATCACATGAGAACTTTTGGATCGATTTGGCTAATATTTTTCTGATACATTTTCTATAGACCTTGTGTTAGTATGATACTTTTTTCCGGTAAGTGGGCCACAGGGAGCGATCTATTCGAAAAAATCGTATTTATGGTCCGATTTGCTTGAAATTCGGTTTACGTATTACAGATATAGAATGAAATTTAATGATTGTTTTACAGTTTCAAAGGAGTTTCTATGTGGCGCAAAGCAAACGGGTTTTTGCTGTCTATATTAATTTTACAAAGAACAGTCCCTTTTTTGGTAAGAGGTGAGTCTTTCCGGTAGTTATAGAATAGAATTGAATGACGGTTTTACAGTGTTTTAGGGTTCAAGTATTTATATGCTTTTATTTTCGTAAAAAGAACAAATTGTGTGTGTCACGCCCGTTACATGTCACACCCGTCACAATTTAAAGTTTGACAAATATCTATAAATATACCGTTACTTATCGGCCAATCTGAAATGTGTCATATATCTGTTTGTGATCAGCGATGATAAAGCCAAACATAAAGATATGTTGCTCGAGCGATGGGAAAACTTAAGCTATGCTGTCACGGATAAAAATAAACCATTACTACTTATCAATGCAAAAGCAGTATCTACAACGGTTTGACAGGTAATAGCCTCGGTTTGTCAGGTAACACCCTCATACTATTAAAAAATAAGGTACTTTACAATTACTCAGACAGACAATGGAGATGAAGAGTCCGATCAAGGATTATCCCGTCTTTAGGTGGCGGAATATTTTATGTGTTCGTAAAATCAGATTTTTTGAGAAATAAAGTTAGTTTAGTTGTTTAATAATGGGTATTTGTGTATTCATGCTCAACTTGTCACACCTGTCACAAAGTCAAGTCACACCCGTCACTGTTGAATTTGGAACATATCGATGGCTGAGTGGAAGATCGACCTATCTCGGCAGCCAGTTCGAAAACATTCTATCTCAAAAAACTTTTCAAGAACGCCCTATTTCAGAATTCGTTTCAAAAACGCCCTATCTCAGCTGCCGATTCAAAAACGCCCTATATCAGCATATTTTCAATACATTTTGAAGTGAGATAGGGCGTTTTTGAACCGAATTTTGAGATAGGGTGTTTTTCAATAAAATTCTGAAATAGGGCGTTCTTGAAAAGTTTTTTGAGATAGAGCGTTTTCGAACTGGCAGCCGACATAGGTCGGTCTTCCACTCAGCCATCGATATAATCTATAATTTCCAATAGAGGTAAGCAACTTTGGTGTAAATGTTGAAAATGGTAATTTAACTATACAACGATTTATTTAAAACCATAAGCAGAATACATAATTAGCTGAAAAACTCTGATACAAGTAGTAGCTAATTTTGTTTGCGTACTCGTCACACCGGTCCATTGTGTATACCTGGGAAACCTATAATACTCGTTTTAAAGAATTTTATATAAAGCTTAAAAAATCTGTAACTGGGCCAAAACTATTCTTATTTAGACTTATGGGATCCCGATAGAAAGGTATTTTCACACTGTTTTTATTTCTGTCCAAAAAAGTCATTCGTGTCCCTTTTTTTTTCAAATACCAACACATCTTAATTCAACTTTGAATGACGTTCGTTCACCCTACCTTTCTCTTTCATCCTTTAATGAGTTTGTTATAAAAAGGGTGAGAAAATACCTTTCCAATGACACCTCTTAAGTCTAAATCGGAAGAGTTAAGATTCAGTTATTCAAGTTTTTCTTATACCAATCTTTGAAAAAAGTTAAAAAACAGCATCAAAAATCTCATCATTACGATTCCGTTTAATTTTTTTTTAATTTTTTCATGCAAATTTTTTAAGCTTAAACTGTTTTGTCATTTAAGGGGATTTTTTCAAAAAAAAAAATCTTTAAGAAACTATTTTTTTTCATGAAAAACTCTATTTTTGGAGGTATTTTCAAATCGGTCCAGCTCACTTAAATCTTAATATTTTTCGGAAATATTTTTGGTGGACGTCTTAAAATATAACAAATTTTATAATTCCAATGGAAAAACAGTACCGATTTTTTTTTGTATGGGGAGTGATGCAGTCTAATGGTGTTAGTAATAGGTGTTAAATTTTATTTGAAAAATTAAAATTTTATGAAAACACTCGGATCTTACATATGTATGTATGTGTAAGAGAAACAAAATCGGGGACAATTATAAGTAATTCGCTATACATAAGCAGGAGAAATTGAAAACAATAACTCAAATACTAGCCTTTGGGGGGCGTACCCTGCCTCGCAAGCATTGTGTTGCTGGTTATCTTTAAAAAAACATGCATGTGAATTTCTTCTTTTTTGTGTACATGTATTNGGGGACAATTATAAGTAATTCGCTATACATAAGCAGGAGAAATTGAAAACCATAACTCAAATACTAGCTTTTGGGGGGCGTACCCTGCCTCGTAAGCATTGTGTTGCTGGTTATCTTTAAAAAAACATGCATGTGAATTTCTTCTTTTTTGTGTACATGTATGTACATACATAATAATGTTTGTTTTGATTAGATCATGCGCTTGTTTAGAAGTACTTACGAGGAAAACAAAGTTTTTTTCTATGGCGAATGCCAGCTGATGATGTGAATGGAACTGTTGCCAAGCCCCTTTTTGGCATGGCGCTCATGCGATGCGTGCGATAACGCTTCCCTGCTCTGCCTGAATAATAATTTAACAACTAATGTTTTCGATGTTTTCGTACAGTTTATTAAAAAGTACTTAAGTGGATATTTAACGCTACGCTAATTGATTGGACAAACCGATTTATTAAAACTCAAGTAGCAAATAGCAACACATATAATAATTGTTTATAATATCACACATTACTAGGCGTATAAATTTGTAATTGTGCATACATATATGGCATTGTGCTAATTTAGAAGCTACATTAATATTTGCTTATATAGTATTTGCTATATTAATTAGAAACGTATTGTGTTCAATGTGAGTTTTGGTGTGTAAAAGTGGCAACACACGTCGTTCCACAATTATGCAGATTATCCATTTAAATAAGTATTTTCGAAGTTCCAGCTGTTTGTATAAAAACTAGGTAGCCTTTTTTCTGCTAATAATATTGTTGATATCATATAACACTTCAGTTTATGTTAATTTATTATCTTTATCATCAGTTTCGCGAGTGTTTACGCTTTTGGAAATGTCATTAGTTACGCCATTAGAAACGCA